GATAAGAACTGGTCCTTTTTTCTATTGATAGTTTTAAAGGATTTCGCGATTTCCAACTCGCATTTACTATCGGGAAGATGCCTGGTAATGGCACTGTTGAAAGCATTTGTTGCCTTTAGACGTAGGCTTTTCGGTACATTTTCAAAAAATTGGAGGTATTCCCTTTTGCTGATTTGGAGTTAACATGAGAAGGGTATATGTCAACTTTTGCCTGCACGAATGAGCATGTTGTCCGATAGACGGGAACCAACTTGACTGCAGGATAGGCTATGGCCAGTGACGTATTCAACTTTCTGTTGACTATCCTTGAAATATTTCAACTTTAAAATCGAGTTGAATGAAGACAGCCTTTTTCCCCACTGCAATTTGTTTGATATTTGAGCTTTCACATCATCCGTACTTGTAAATGTAATGTATTTAGCCTTTCACGCTGTATGTTCAATTCCCGGTGAAATAGTGAGTGCACAGTCTTGAGGAACCTCAAGCTAGGACGTAACATCTCTCTGATGCACCCTAACTCTTACTGATGTCAGTACGTGACACTGAAATATAACTAAGTTAATAAATGGTGAGAACACACGGTCAGCAAAACTCCGACATCAGATTGATTACACAAATAAACTTATTCTTCTAACAAATTCCACAAATAAGTTAAGTGATACGAAAAACGCCATTTAAAAAGTGATCGTTTTACTTAAATTTCTGCATTTTTTGAGAAGGGATTTGAAAAGATTTATGAATGCTACTTTTGTTCAATTTTCTTAGCCAGTAAAATTATCAACGCCTTTGAACTTCTAACGCCTGAGACCAATGAGCATAATGAACCATTTGAAGAGATACACTTCAAAAATGAAAGTATAAATTTAGAAAAATGAAGCGCGTAGACAGATGATCCATCTTTAAAATGCTACTAACTAACAACATAGATGTGAAATACTTTATGAAACCATAATAATGTTATCGCCATCTACCAAATGTCAAACGATTTGAACTAACTGAAATAAACGTTTAACAGCAACATGATTTGAAGAGCAAGAAAGCATATACATATGTAGGAGCGAATGGAGATCACTAAGACGTGGCAGAGAAATTCACTTGCAAGTAATCTGCAAGATATCAGAAGCTGTACATCTCGTATGGTACTGGTGACTTTATCAACTTTTAGTTTATCTTATTTTGACATGACTTATTGAGTTATTCTTTACAAACATGACTTTCGTGAACAATTTACCCACCTATTATTTTAAAATATTATTTCCTATTTTAATGCTAAGTAACTTGATATATAAATTCAATTTAGCTTGTAATTACTAATAAACGTTCTAACATAGGTCTAGGCAAGTCTCCAAACCGAAATCTGCGTGGAGAATATATATATATATCTTTGTGTACACACTTTTTAATTTCATGGTACTATAAGTACCCCAGTAGGAGTCAAAAGTGCTTACAAGAAATGGATTTACAACGAAAAGAAGAACATTGTCAAATTAATTCTTGACTAATATTGATTTCGTTTGAAATAGGGCACACAAAATATCAAGAATATGCGCACAGACCATACTTTCATTTTAGTCGTAATGTAGAGAAAGAAATAAAGATGAGAATTAATAACTACATCTCTTTTATTAACTGGTAGTTCAAACTTTTGGTTTTAATGAAATAGGTTGTAAAATATTATGTAGAAAGCTAATTTGTTGAAATTTATTGAAAACTATTATCAGTTATTTTGGACTGTCACTGAAAACTATCTCCCTGCATACTCTACAAAGTATATCACCTTTACATTAAGGGTAATTTTTTTCCCTACACGTTCCCAGTGGAACATAGGGCCTCAAGCTAGTGGCTTAAAGTTTCTGTAGCTGTGTTTAATTTCTACAGGATGGGGTAGCTAGCCTCATGCCCGACCTTTCCTCTTTACCAGCATTCTTTCTGGCTTAGCGAGGTAAAGGAGTGCATCGTCTGGGGATCGAACCTCGGACCATGTGCATGGTCGGCGAGCGTCCTAACCGCTATGCCACCGACGCACCAATAAGTATAAACTCAGTGGTTATTTTCATGAAGGGATAAATTAATTTTAGCAATATTTCCAGAGAAATTACTATTAGTGATTAGATCACTTGTCCGAATTTTCTTGCTCACACATCCATAGCCAGCAACCACATATCTAGGGTCTTAATATTTTTTTCTCAGTCATCTCTTGTATCCAACAGCAAGTTTCATGATAGTGATACTTATTTTTAGTGTCCTTTATTACATATGGTTGGAGGTGACATGTATGGGTATGAATTATGTCATTAATCTTCCCTTCCATTCTTCTATATTGCACTTTAAAGGACAAATGTTGTTCATCGATGCATGTGCAGCTATTGATGAACATTTTTCTAAATTCTTTTTCTTATATGTCCATGAGAGTTGGACTCTACTCGAAAGCTTATACTCATCAGGTCTTATTTTGAGTAATCTTGCAGTTTGACCTAGAAAAATTAACTGGATAATCAGCACATGATACTAATAATTCTATATAATTTTTCATTAGATATTTTAACTGGTTTAATTTGTTTCTGAAACCAGTCACCTGTCTAGGTGCAGTACAAAAGTTCCCCTTTTGGAGTTTCCTTGAATTGCTTCAAGTGTATCTTTATTATGTGGCAATGGTGCTGTATTTCCATAATTACCTTTCTTGTTAGAACAAGTTTTGTTTTGGTGGTTTTCTGTCGAAAAGTTCACCCTACGGAATTAAGAGAATAATTTGCTTTCTCAATGACTTTCAGGCTCTAATTCCAGGAAGTTTAAAATACTTTACTTCCTTTAGTGCTTTCATGTATCTTTTTACAATGACAATCGATTTAACGTAATGGATGAAAATGTTTTAAGCAACAATTCATAGACTATTCATCTAATAATGGACGTGGTTACAGCTGAGTTACCCAGGTAACTCACCAAAAGTAAATAATGGCTTCATTTGGGAAGATAAAAGATCTACATAAATAAATACTGTCTTAGTAAATTGCCTATCCTAAAAGCACCCAATGGTATAAGATAGAATTCAGACATTGTGGTTGAGTATAATTCCATAACAGAATAACTTTATTTGATAGCAAACGATGATACAGTATTATTTATTTGCTGGGTACATTTCGACCGTAATCTATTGTCCATAATCAAATCAAGTCGCTCACATAACTTTCATGAAGACCTGGATCTAGGCCTTGTCGGTAAGACGTAGCTGCATCCTCCAAAACAGCCATACCCCTTCAGAAATTCAAAGCGATAAATATCACTCAGCAATTTGAACTCAGGATTAGGAGAAGCTGAGATGTCTCATGTTAAAAAAATATAATATAAATGCAATATCTAAATGCTATATATACTTAACAGAGTGCTATGAAACAAATCTTTGTTGCCTTGTCTCTTACTTTCATTGAGTAACTGCTTTTTCATGTTGTCTTTTGCGCAATCAGATAGTTAATAACCTTCACATACACAGATCTTATTACAGAGTTTAAATTTTTTTACAATTGCTTTGATAATTTGAATTCAAGTCACAAAATAAAATTCCTTCCCAAAGAAAGGTAGTGTCGCTACTTAAGAAAACCTGAGATATGTTCTCTCAGCTGTCAGTCAAAACCGAAGTCTTCTAAGAATATTGTTCCGGCGAAGTCATAACTAAAAAAGTAGGACCTTATACTAAAGTCTGTAAACAGAATAAGAGTTTGTGTTACACTTGTCAAACTTGCCATTGAAGTGACTTACATACCCATAGTAATAAAACAGCACGTACAATAATATATAAGACATGAAATACAGTACACAGACTCGGGTCGAAACACTATATAACTACCAACCGAATCAGTAGCAGGTCAAAGATATATACAACAAAAGAGCTAGGCTATGACTGTTCAGCGACCACCAAGTTCCGAAATGACGCCTCCGTTTGAATCTGATTTACTACACTCGCGTCACTTAAAATGTGTTAAAATTAGTTAAATTCATGCAAATCCAACATCCATCAACTGAATATACGATATTTGGTGATAATCACTGAGACAAATCTCTCGAGATAACAGTGAGAGGACAGGAATGAAAGATTCATCGATTTGGATGTGAAAATGACTACACATCAACACCATTAAGGACCAAGACGTTACATTGCCAGGTTGCAGAAGTTGGAAATCACTTATAGCTAAAGTTCAACCAAACGACTGTAAAGTAATATGCTTACTTTGTAATTTGTTAGTACTCGACTCTACTCTTCACAGATACATAATGACTGCATGTCATTATTTAAGTCTAAACAGTTATCTGCTTTTTTGAGGTTTTCACTTTTTCGTTACCTAGTGTTGTTTAATGATGAAATATGTCTTCAAGTTGAAATTTTATTTACCGTGTTTACACAAATGTATGGGAAAACATACTCTGAATCAGTCTGGTAGCAATTTGCAGCTAACGACGCAACTGTACACACATATAATAATGATGGAAAGCGAACCCAGGTGTAAGGCTAGGAATTAAAAATGTCAGCATTCAATCAGTGAGTTGAGACAAATCACCCGTAATTTCGTACTTCACTTAGGAGCTTATTAAAAAGAGACTAAAACTTATATTACTTTTGGCAGAGGATTTTGACGCAGCAATGAATAACTAAACTTGAATGAGTAGCAGACAGATATATTTCAGCATGAATAGTAAACTAGATTATAAATAATCCTATAAAATTCGTCAGTCTTTTGGAAACAATTATTTGTCGAATCTTATTACGATGTGATTAGCAAATGCCTTAGTAGTAAAGTAAAGTAGAAAGTAAGGTACCTTCAAGTTCATCTACTTCCGCTGGATAATATCTCATTTAAAATGGGTAACCCGCAAATTATGATGTCAGAAGTTGTGGAATTTGAAAAGAGTTCATCAAACTTAGTAAATGTGAGACAGTCATAGAACTGTGGTACAAACGACCTTTCTGATAACGGCGACAAATACTCAGACAAAAGGTGCACACTTACCCCAAACGAAATTCCTTTGTTTTGGAACTCATATTTACAGCGATTCTCACAGGGAACTTTTGGTTTAGACGGACACTTGGAATGCCAATATGGACAAGTGATACGTTTGATACATCCTCATAAATATATTTCCACTCAAAATCCATCTTTTTGATCGCCGTTACAGAAGGAAGAATTTGTGACTGGTGTATCAGAGAGTGTGTTATATCCGACCGTTCCATGAAATTAAGATACTGTCCAGTTCGATTTACCTGATATGCTGTTGCATTGTATTTCACTAGCAAACTTAGAGACTCCCTATTGTTTGCGTGAAATTGCATGTTCACAAAGTCCAAATCAAGCTTAGCAACACATTCAGACTCATTAACGGTGCGGATAGTGCAAGAAGAATTACTAAAAACATGTGCATCAAAAGATTGTATGTAAACGCGGAAAGAACATAGTATGATCGTATCTTGATGTGCAACCAAGTAGTTGTTTTCTAATGAACAAAGCGCATATAGTGGTGAATTGTATGATTTGTACACGAAAACTAGGTGTGAATTCAAGAATACATTTATGCTTGCCATTTTATAAAAATGCGTTGAGTTATATGATCCAAGATGAGCTATAATAGATCCTTCAATAGCAGGTTGTATAAGGAAAAACGACTTTTCAGCCGTGTCATTTGGATTGTAGACTTCAAAAGCTAATTCGTTGGGTTCAGTGTATATATCCGGAGAGATCCCTAACAATAAACGTTGAAACAAATATGATATTACCTTTCAGTCCCTTTGAAAACAACGAATACAACAATAAAACAAGCAACAGGAGTTGCTTTGTATTCAAAATACAAAACATCACCCCCACATAAACGCAAAGCCCATTCCAAATGCCACACAACCTTGAAAATCAAACCTTTGTTATAGTGATGTGAACAAAGTAAGCAGAAGCATACTTATAATTTAATCCCAATAAATTGTAAAGTCACCTTTTCAGAATCAAATCATCTACTTTCTTATATTTAAAACAGATATTTTTGTTCCAAATCACAATGTCATAATATGTTTTCTATATTCTCAACTTTCCGTGTTATCCTTGGTTAATGATGCTAGGTTTATCCCATGATGAAACAGATTAATCCATCAAACCTTCAACTTCTCAACATCAAAAGATTTTTCCCTTATTTGTATGTGCTAACAGGCATTTCAACTGCTGCTTTCAACATCTCTTATAAGTAACCAGCACGTGTGAACATGGCGGCATTTTGGCGTATTTTTCTTGATGAACAGCTTCAGATATTCAACGAGTTATTATAAAAAGATCCATTGAACTCCATGCTTTTGTAAATACATTTAGCAGATGTAGGTTCTCGGAAGGTGTGTAACCTCCCTCAGATAAGTTTTGTTGCTGGTATCACCGACTGGGAAACTAAAACTTATAGCACAAGATACTAGCTTCATCGCTCCATTTCATCCTGTTCCCAGCAGTCTGCTTAAGCTGGCTCCATGACTGTCCACAATCTCTCCAGTCGAATGATCTACTCTGTAACATCCAGAAACGACAAACTCGCATCCTCTCAATGGACATGAACATTGAACATTTGTTTATCGAACTGGTAGCCATTAGTGGGTAACTCGAAGGCGCGAATGGTTCGATCATCTACAAGTTCGAAGAGGACGACCAAAAACGAATAAAAGTACTCCATATTTTTTTTAAAATATTTGTTGATAGACTTTTACTGTTCTCCTGTTTAATTGCCAAACATTATAACTTCCTTCTTACAATACTGGTATCTTGGAGATAAAGTCGAAGAAAGTACATAGTTTTTATCGGAGCGTCTTCGTAACAATAGGAATTTAGGGACAAGTTCCTTGACAGTTTTTATTCGTGTATTCGTTTTCTGGAGCGCTTTCTGTGACAGTTTCTGTTCATTTTCTTGGTCTCCTTCTGGGACAGTTTTATTCCTCTGTTCATTTTCTGGAGCCTCTTCAGGAACTTCCGGGATTACTTACTGGGTCTACAGCCAGTACTTTTGGACAAAGATTATCAACGCAATTTGGATTTTTTGGTCAAGTTAAGTGATTCCTGGGTCAAAGAAGCGACAAAGCGTCTTGAAAGCAGACGGGAAAGTAAGTAATGTTGAGCTGCTTGTTAATTGCAATGATATGTGTGATGCTCAGCATGATGAGTCTATTGTTTATGGTTCGCGGTTGAGGGATAGTAAGGGTCTAAAGTTAACTAAATTTGAGCCTCTGGACTATGAAGGAAACTCAGCTGACTAACCACAGTTTATCGATGAGTTTGACATCAAGCTGAGTGGTTTTTCATTAAATGACGAAACGAGGTTGATGTATTTGATGAGGTACTGCACTGGAGTTGCTGCGGGAGCTATACAGTGCTGTTAGTTAATGCCTCCAAACGAAGGATATACTCAGTCGAAGATTCGGAAGACCTTCGATGATTGTAAGGAACGTATTCGAGGCTGTTAAAGGTAATGGTAGTCAATTAGGAGATGACTCCAAGGCACTCACTGAGTATCTGGATAATCTGATGACTTACAAGAATGCATTGATTTCAATGAATCGCATGAGTGATCTGAACTCGAATTCCGCCCCAAAGGTAATAGCGAGACGCCTACCTACTCGACTGCAAAGGAAGTGGGTGAAGATAAGCTCCCGTACAGAGGATGAGGGTATCGAGCCAAAGTTCGATGATATTCTGAAACTGGTAAACGATAGTTTCAATCAAGCTATGAGCAAGTTTGCCAGTATATTGCATCCCACCCCTAGATTAGAGAAGTCTGAGAGCAAAACGCAATGATTTATGAAGAAACAGTCTCAGAAAAGCGGATACCGAGAAAGCTTTATGGTGTCTAGTAACCCATATAAACTTAGTGAGTGTAATAGCTTTCGTGGGACATCCACAACAGATAGGTTACAAGTTGTGAGACAAACACGGTTGTGTTTTACTCGTTTGCGAGAAGTGCATACAAAGGTGAACAGTGAAGAAGTGACCATGTTTAGTGGTGAGCTAAATGTGAAATCACCGTCATCGAGTTCAGACTACGAGTTGTGTGACGATAATGGTGCAGTGAAGGAGCCTGTAGTTGCAAATGGTAAGCCATTGTTGAATGAAGTGTCACAGACGGTACCACAGTTTGTGCAGAATAAGGAAGTTACAATTTCAGAGTCTAGTTCTGACTCCACAAGTTTTCAAAGTATTACTAGTCAGAGCAAAGGTATAGAAGCTGTGAGGATTTGTGAGACAGAACACAACTTGTCTACTGCTGTTATTAAAGAGTTTGAAAATGATGAAGTCGATCAGAAAGACGATGATCAAGTGAATATTTGTGATAATGATCATGATAGTGCAGATTTGTCTTTGGTTGATCATGATGAAATGGGGGGAACGCCTACTACTGCTAAGTTAAATAAAGGTTCTGTACAGCGACAACGTGAAGTAGAATTGAACGCAGATGCAGTTGCAGAAGGCATGGATACTCGTAAGACCATCAGTGTAAAAGATCAGCATGTAGCCCACCTATCATCAGATGCTAGTGCTAAACCGAAGCTAATAGTAAAAGATATCAGTGGTGGTAATCTTGCAGTTAGACAACCTTCTAAAAGCCGAAAAACAACAGCTTCTGATCCACCGCTAATTTCATCAACTGGTATCAATCAGTTGTCGTTGGTGTTGTCATCCACAATGAGAAGGACGCCCATCAACTCAAGTATCTTGTGCGATGACTATGATAGTATTGGTGCGTTTGAAAAGACGAAAGATATTGGTCGGTTTAGTGAGGATAAGCCAAGTGTAAACGAGAGAGTAATTGTTAAACTGACTTGCATGAATAAAGGCATTTCTAGTTTAGAGTTACTAATTGAATGTTATTATCGTTGGTGTAAATTGCTCTGTGCCTACTCTTGGTTGTTCAGATTCGTCGTTCGTTTGTTCGTCATCTATATTCTTCGATACAATGTCATGGGCGTGTCACTGTTCAGATTTGAGGATACAGATTATAGAAGGAGGTCAGCAAATGAACTCTGCGACGATTTTCCAACTTAAGGGTGTCAACCTGAGGAGGGTTGTAGGCGTACTGCTGTGAGTCCTACGATTCTTCAAGGGTAGCACGTCGAAGCGCCGTTCATCGCACTTGGTGTGTTGTTTTGTACATATGTTCGTGTTGTACATACTGAATTGGTATCATCTTTCATCTATCTGTTGGTTAATTTTGTTTGTGTCCGGACGTCCTCCACTTGGATCGTCAATCTGAGAAGGAATAAAGGCGTATTGCTGTAAGCCCTACAGTTCTTCAAGGGTGGCTCGTCAAGGCAGAATCCACAACATTTGATGTACTGATTGTACATATGTTTTCGTTTAATAACTGGGTGGGTTCCAATTCATTTAATTGTTGGTGTCAATGTAGTTGAAGATTGAACGATCAATTCATGGTTGTTCGCTCCAACCCAACTTCACCATATTTTTCGAGGAGTCATCAATCCACCAGTCATCATCTCATCGGTCGCTGTTCAGAAGGAAGATTAAAAGACTATCAGAAGTAATATCGTGATTTATTGTTGCAATATTTGTTCTTAGACCTTACTCTGTAAAAGCAGTATAGCTGGTCATATGTTAGCGTTAGAATAACGAATTTTTGAGTCGCCGAACAGTTTTTTGGTTTTTGCGTCGGTTAATACTAAGCGTTTCTGAAAATCTTCAAGGGACAGCGTAGCAAGAGGTGGTCGTTAACGGTTTATGAGACTTGACTGACAGTTGGTTTATTTTATAGTTGTCGCGTCGTGTGAATTATCTTCTAATGTTATTGTAAGTACTTCTGCAGTCGTTTCTAGTCTTCTTATCCTGTGAACGGATCGAGTAGTGTTAGCGTCAGTGTATGCGAATTGATACGCCGGGGAGGTGATTGTCCCAGTGTGATATGAAGCAACCAACACCCGGTGGACAAGCTCAGTGGTGGTACTGTCGACAGAGAGCAAAGGAAAGTTCCGATCACTGAGGAAGATCCCACACGCCGGAGGGAGCGTACTGGTGTGATGTGGTATGCCTGCTGTGTGTTGGGCATTTTGTTTTGCTTTTCCATTTTAGCCTAGTGCCGGCAGGCCCAGGTTCCCGCGTTGGCAGTTCAGTTCAAGGTTATCGGCGCTATGGAAAAAAATGAATGGATTCTTTTTCGTACTCCACTACGGAACGTGGGGCACGACATAGTCCAACAGTTTCCTCATTGTCAATCCCATCCATCTTCATTTTCCTACGATCATTTTTCGTCCAGTAATAAGGTCTTCGTTGTTTTGTTTCCAGAGTTACTATTCTCTGATTTTTCTCGACACCTGAATCACAGTAAAGTGGGATGAGAACTAATGATGAAAGTGTGCAGATGCGTGTTGAAAGTGATTTTCGTGATACGCATACATAATCTCTGAACCATACAGATGCATGGATTTGACATTAATGTTGAGAATCAGAATGATATTCTTTTCTCTGGGAGTATCAGATTCCTATACTGATCCCAGTTAACTAGTGGTCTCTGTCGTCTTAACGGTTCTTGATTTGACGCCTGCACCCATGCAGCCTTCAGGTGAAACGATGATGCTCGGATAAGTGACAGGACCGACTTACCTCATATTTTTCCCTTTGGTAGAGATTAGTGATTACTGTCACTGGTTAAATGAAAGTACCATTTGCTTCTTCTATGTTTGATGCTACCACCGCTAAGTCTCTGGTTTTCTCCAATACATCTAATAGTTTTTACGGGTGAACTTAAATTATCATCAAAGTTTATATCTTCCAAAGTTTTCTCATCAGCCCAACGTATTCCTCTCTTCTCGCTCCCCACAATCCAAAGCGTAATCCAGTGCATCGCAACCAGGCATATTAGTCATTGATGAGTTATTTTCCGAGGTACTCTCCTGTTGGCGCTATCAAGAACCTGTTGGATGCCACTGAAATTGGGGCACGGAGTTATTTTCTTTTCTTTCATGTGTTCAATGAACATGCACAGATTTATGATCTGGTTCATACAAGATCCGGTTTCCAGAA